GGGGCAGTGCGGGCGCGGCACCTAAGAGTGTCGCGGATCACTTTCTGGGTCTTGATTTTGTTTATTTGTTTTTTGACTGTTCGTTTCTGCTTTCCCACCCACTTTTAGGGAAGAAAGCTCGGACTTTTGACCTCGAAGCCATGTTTGAACAAACGAGAAGAACTGCCGTGGAAAGGAGCAGGAAAGTCTTGGGTAAGTAGCGTGGCCGTTGCCAACTCATGCTTTTCAGATAGTGCCTTCTTATTTGATATTGGGGTGAAATTCATTAACTGCTTCATATTGCCTTTTTTGTGTGCGTGTTTTTGGGGGAAGTAGGTTTACTCTAGGAAGACAATTTGAAGCAGTTTGAGGCTTAGTAAGTAGGCAAGTTTTTGTTTACATCTACTGTAAAAGTATTTGGGAATGTGCAGGATGCTGTATGTGAGCTCTAGTCAACAAAGGCGCAGAAGGGGTGGTGAGCTAGGAAACAGACTTTTTTCATTCCTTATTTTAGTTAGATCTGTATTTCTTATGGAAGAGGGCGTGTTGGAGACAGCTTTAAATTTGCGTAAGCAGAATAATAAGAAGAAACAAGGGAGAATGCCTTTTGTGTCCCATAACATAGAGCAGGTTTCATGGCTGCCCTCAAATCTGTTCTCACCGCTAGCTATGGAAATTTTCAAGGTGGCAGCTTGGGAGAGGAAACTAGCGAAAATGAAATGCTTTGGTTCTGATATCCAACCAAGGAACACTCTAGTGAGGGTCTTTGGGACACAAGGCCATGTTTTTTTTAGAATTTACGTTGTCAATGTAAATACCCAGTTTTTTCTTCCCCTGTACAGCGTGTATGGAGAAGGCTCCTCAACACATCGACAAAACTATCATTGTTGAGTTGCTTCTGTCCCCACTGCCTTAGAAATAAACCAATCTAAAATGTAGACTTTAAAGACACTGATTATAGAGACGGCTGTTCTTCATAAAATAATTAGATTATGTCAATATTGATGATATTTATTGTTTTAATCATATGGAGAGCCATACGAGTGGACCTCTGTGGAGGCTTGTTGATTTTTGTGGTCTTTATGTCACCGTGAAATTCATGGATATAGGGGTTCCTAAAATATGATTTGTGTGCTTTTCTCCTACTGTTTAAATCTAAACGCAGCAAGAATTCTCCCATGTTCATGACCTTTTCATGTTTGATACTGGTTCAGCTTGTGCAATATTTTTCCCTTTTGAGAGATCAGATGATTACATCATGTTTGAGGTTTAGATAGAAATCCTATCAGCAGCTGCATCGCTAAACAGTCAAATTATTAGATTGATGATTGACTTTTTGATTAACAAACAGTCATAACAAGTCATTTAGTCTTTTGCAGAGGTTTTGGAATTGCTACATTTTGAATTTTGGTTTTTGTTTGTTGAACTTGAATTTTTGAGAACATAAAGAAAATTCTAGAATCTTTGCTATAATAGAAGCACAATGTACTGGTGATTGTGAGATCAGTGTTTTTTTTTTTTTTTCCAAAAATGACAAAACTTTGTATTTAATTCCACTGTTTATCTTAAAACCAAATTTTGCCATTCATAATACAATGCTTGTGAAAGTGTAGAAACAGTTTATAGCTTGAATTTTTATATATATAAAAGTGTGTGTATATATGCATATATACACACATGCACACACAAATGCACACACACATATGTATATACAATGTGAGCATTCTGTTTCCAGATTTCCTAAAATATTCTCTTGATTTTAACTCTGCTACCCAAGGAGAATTGAGGTCAATATATGTTTCCTAGTTGTCTATTGTGCAGATGCTTGTGTGTCTCTTCAGAAGATAATGCTTTTGCATTGTACTGCTTAACACAGTTTTTAGCCAATAGTTTGAGACAGTTGTTTGCTAGCTGTGTGAGAGAGGAAACAAGAAAGTACTTTTCTTGTTTAGGGAAAAGATAAGAAAGTGTAATTTTTCCTTGCTTAACAAAAGTTACTTGAATATTTTAAGAAATAGAATAGTAGTGTCTCTTCTCCTGCACCAATTTGACCATCCTGTGTAAGATTTTTACCAATACTTTCAAATGGGAAATTCTATTTTATGTTGGTTGTGCTGTCCCATTTGGATTATTTTCAGAAAGTGACACGTAAATAAATAGAGTTGTGGCAATTTTCCATATGTTTCAAATTTACGTATTTACACTTGCTATGCAAATTTCAAGAATTCTATGAAGCAGTTATACTAGTTAACTGCTATTCTGTATAATGTTGAGCATGTTTAAATATCAGCATCATAATATTATCACCTTATGTTTGGTAGTCCATGCAAACTAGTGACTGGAAGAAAGGTGCTTGCATTTTGCCTGACACATTTTGTATTTCTGAGTGATTGTTACGTTAGCAGCAGAAATATTGTAATATTTTACTGATCGTATCCTTCCAAACATTTCATATAGGCCTGAAAATGAAGAAAAATTGTTTTCACTGACCTCAATTTGAGCTGACCTCAAATTTAGTTATTTTCTAGTGGTCTTGATTACTTGTCATTTACTTGCTCACTTTGTATTCAGAGGCACGTGAAAGAGAGAAAGAAGACCAGGCTGAGAAAGAATTTAGATATCTGCACCCTGATTCACCAGCTTCAGCCTCAAATGTAATTGGAGCTCAGTCCACGTTAACACCAAGGTACTTAGATATGATAAAAATTCATTCTGTTCAACAGCTTCCTTGTCTGAAGGGTTTGCTTTTTCTTCTGCTTTTTCTGAAGAACATGAGCAACATTTAATGTACGTGCTATCTGTTATCTGAAGTCTTTTAGTGGAAATACTGATTCCTGAAAGATGTTTCAGTATTTAAAACTGTCAGTATGTAGTCGGCAGTTAATTTTGCCATGTTGTGTTTCAATTTGAGAACAGTATTCTTTTTCAAAATTTCTTTGACTCTCAACTCAAACTGTGGACTTTCTCTTAGGTGACTGCACAATACTCCCCTTCCCCATTGGTGTTCTGAGATACATTTCTGATGAAATAATGGAAGATGAGAAGAATTTAAATGTGATGTACTGCATTTGGAGATTTCAATTAAAGAAATAAATTAAAACAAATGGTAAAGTAGAAAGAACCCAGGTGATCCAGAGCCTGTGCCAAATCTACTTATTTAGATAAAAGACTTGAGAGAAGAAAACTCCAGACATTTTGGAGTATTTTGAGTTAGGTAGGCTCTGGTAGCTCCCCAGAGTTCTGATGATTTTTCAAGTTTTGTTTTAAATGAGCATTGAGAAGAGAGACCATGATGTGAAGAGCTGTTGGAACTGTAAGCTGAGCAGATGTCAGCTTACCGTTTGGTATCTCCTTGTAAGCTGTATGGTGTATAGTGAGAATTTAGTGCTGAAACAGGAAGCTATTGAGGCAGGCAGGCCAGTGTGATTCAGCCCTAATTCAAAAGGATAATCCAAAAACTGATGTTGAGGTATATAATATAGGACTACAGAATATATAAGTTTTACTAACAGCACTTCTGTGTATGATGTAGATGATACAAAATAATGAACTCTTTATTGTCCAAAAAGGTGACTTTTTTTTTTTTTCAGTTACATTAAATTATCCTCCTAGGCCCCATAGAATCATAGAATGCTTAAGGTCGGAAGGGACCTCCAGAGGTCATCTTGTCCAACCCCCCTGCACACGCAGGGACACCTAGAGCACGAGGCACAGGACTGCGTCCAAGCGGGTTTTGAAGATCTCCAGAGAAGGAGACTCCACAACCTCTCTGGGCAGCCTGTTCCAGTGCTCTGTCACCCTCACTGTTAAGAAATTTTTCCTTAAATTCCTGTGGAACTTAACTTTTCTTCATATGCAGACAGAACATATGCTTCAACTTGTGCTTGTTGCTTCTGTTGTCTCTGGTACCACAAAAGTGGGGAAGAGTACTGATTTTTATGGTTGTTAGAAAGGACATAGTCAACGCAGAAGGACTTGAAGAACAGTTTTTGATTCTGGTTAGTTTAGAATGCAAATGCTATAGAGAAATACTTAAGTACTGTAGCAGTTAAAATATTCTAAGTACAAGAGTATTTATGCTTCATGATAGGAGAATTTCTTGTTAATGTCTAAAAAGAACAAGTCAAAGAAAATAGCATGTGCTATGTGAAAAGAGGGAGCTTGTTGGGGGGGGTATGCCCAAATACTTGTACAGCTCTTGGTATATGTTTTGTTATTTCCACTCTGAGTGCCCTCTACTAATGTATCTTTCTTTGTCCTCTTGCCTCATTTGTATCGAGCAGGTAATCAGAGAAAGCAGAAAACTTATTTTCCTTCCACCTCTTTGAATCCTGGGGGAAGTTTTTCTTTCTGTACAGCCTGAGATTCAGGGAGGCCATAAGCCACAAGGGTGAAAGTTGCAGGGGACACTGCTGTGTCTGCTTTGTTATTCAGTCTTCTTTTTGTCAGATAAGGATAAGGATCTGCAGTTAGGAAGGAAGCTACATGTTGTTCTGTGGTGTCTATGCAAAGATCCGAAATGTGAGAATATAGGATTTGAATAATTGTGAGTTTACACTGTTCTCACTGATAGCTGTGTTGTATCCTTAGTTCCCTTCCAAAACAAGTTAAATTGTGTGCCTTTGGGGAAATAAATTGTGGTTTGCTTGTCTGGGAATGCATATCAATTCAGAGACAAGTCTGCACATACTATGGAAAAACTGCTAATTTTACGTCAGAAAAGTTGTAGAGTTCTAATTGCCCAAATCATCCTCAGGTGTTTGGAACCTTTTGATAGAAGGCTATTGTCCCACTGCTGTAAAGGAGCTTATTTTGAGTTAGATTTATTAGGTATATCCTGACCTAGGTCTTTAAATGTCTGTCATTACTGTGCAAAACAAAGTTTTTATACAGAGGTATCTTTCATTAGGCTAGTAACGATAATGTGAAAAATTAGGCAAGCTTTTAGGTATGTAAGTCCTTGTTACCCTTGTTATCGCTGTTCCGTATGAGGACTCCTCCATGTTATTCTTAAGTTGTTTTGATTTCTTCCTAAAATAGAATTCAATTTACTCGTCCGAGACAGATGACTTGTGTATAACCTATTACTTGCCAGTGTAGAGCTCTTCTGGGCAGTGCATGTTACACAGTTTTGAACTTCTTTATCTAATGTTTTATTATATTCTTGAACTTATGTGTTTTTATGGTTGTTTTTAAGTAATAAGCTAAACGCTATAGTTGTGTTTTTTTTTTTTTTTTTTTTTCCTTTTTGGTGTTAAACTCCTTCATAGCTTGCCTACTTGTAAATCACAGATATGCTCCTAAAATACAAGCTTGCAAAGGACTGTCTTGCAAAAGTCTATTGAGTTTATTATATCACAGAATCTGAAAGAAAGAGCTGATGCCCACTGCAAAGCTTTTTCTTTTCTTTTTTCTTTTTTTTTTTAAGAAAAACTCTTGAAAGTAATGTTTTAAAGTTACTGCGAGTTCTCTGCTTACCAGTTTCAGACATTCTAGTAGAATGCAACCTTCTTGTTAGATACCAGTAGAGGGAGCAGATTTACTTTGAATGAGCTGAATGACCACGTATTAAATAGTTCTGCTTACTTTTCAGAAATTCACTAGTGCCAAAAATGTGTTCATGTTCTTGAAGTAGCTTTTTAATTTTTCCATGCAGAGATGCAGCCTGTAGTGAAAGTGAAGACAGCTCAGGTGAAGAGTTAACTGGCCCCTCTGTGCAATCCCAAACTTCAGCTCAAGGTCAAAATGAGGATACTGATGATGAGGAGGAGGAAGATGAAGAATTCATTGGGCCACCTCTCCCACCTGGGTTCAAGGACAGTGATGATGATCATGATGACGATGATATGCAGGATGAAGATAATGTAAGTATTTTATTCTTCTTCAACGCTTAAACACTTCAGGTAGACTTTTGTTTTTAACCATGCTCTTTTATGATTGAATCTGTGGGTGAAGTGTATGCCTGCTGTTTGAAATGCAGATTTCATGTGATTTCTTTTTTTTCCCTAATGATATTAAACAAAGGCAAAATTCTTTTTAAAATACCTGGATTTTTTTAATAGCAAAAAAACCATGCATGTGAATCTGAGCTTCACTTGTATACTTTAGCTTGATGCACATTATGCAGAATTAGGAGCAATAAAGTAAGAGTGTTTCGTTGTTGTTGTTTTGTTTTTTAATCTGAAAATGCGTGTGTCTAACAATCGGAGTGAAAGTTACTGTCTTGGAAGTACTTATTTATTGCTACTGATGGAGATGCCTAGTTTTGATCACTTTGGGGCTGAGTAGTTTTCAGTCAATTTCAAGACACAGCGTTTGAAACAGTATGAGCCATGTGTTTGTTACTTTGTGTAAATTTAATCTTTTTTAAAAATAAATGTAACAAGTTTCTAATACTGACTGGTAACTTTGTGTAAGGAAGTGATTAGTCTCAACCAGTGTGTATGCGTTCTGCACAGGAGTTCTTTCTTTGGGGCCTTGTCAGAACGCCCCTCTAAATCACTGCTATCCCAAGCTGTCCTCATTTCTCTTCCGAGAAAAAACAAACTTTTGTTCTGTTTTCAGCATTCCTAAGGCTTGTAACTGCCAGCTTGTAACTGCCTTATAGTACTGAAATATTGAAGCTACACACAGAGAAATAACCAGGCTTGGGAATCAAGTCCTGCAATTTAAACTTCAGGAAAGTAAGAGTCTCCTAGATAGATGCTCAAAGGTTTGCCAATGTATACTACACCAAAATAAAGCAAGGCAATCTTCGAGCTATGTTATAACCTTGCAACTAAACCCAAACTTAAACCTCATGTTTGCCACCATTTTCACTAAAGTATCACACTAAATTATGCATAAGAAGTGTCTTCTAGTAACTCCTCCTTGATCCACACAGGCTTTATTCTTAATTATGTGTATGTCTTTTCTTAAATGCAAACTGGGTTTTGAAAGTACCAGTGTAATAAGCAAAATTTGCCTTAAAAAGGATTTAAAAAAAAAAAAAAAAACAAGGGAAGTTACTTTTTGTGGAAGAAGACGGTATAATCAGTGTATCACATACTGGAATATATTGCCCTCTTGTTAGGGTCTTATAATTAAACTGGTTTCTAAGCTGAGTGTCTCTAGATTGCTTCTCAATGTTAATTAAGGGAGTTTTGCACATGTTGGAAATTCATAGGGAACTTTATTGAAAAGATTCCTTGCAAAATAGCTGGAATATTAATGATTCTTTATATATACCTGATTTTTTTTCTTATAACTCGTGCCAGAAGTTGTTATGGTTTTCTTTCTCAAATGAGAATTAATACAATAGCTTAAAATTGATGATAATTATTTTATAAAACTGGAGTAAAATTTTGGAGAACTTTGTCTCTGTCTCCTTGATCTGGTAGAGGTGTCGCATTCTGCATTTTGCAAAAAGCATCATATATAAACCCTGCATAATTCAATTCTGAAATAACATGAATTTGTTTTATTCAAGAGACTGTTCAGTACATATGTTCTAGTCTTGGTCTGCTGTTACTTTTCCCCATAAAATATAAATTAAAAAAGCATTATTGTATTTGTGGAAATAAATAACTTTTCTGTTTATTTGTTTTCCTTGGAAACACTGGTGTGTACCAGAGCAGGGGGGAAAAATCTTACTAAATTCTCACTAAGCAGGTCAACGTGGTTTTTACCATGAGTCTTTGCCTTTGTCATCACTGTGATGAAACAGGGTTATAATAAACTCTGTTAACAATACTGTGATAGCCATGTAGCAGAATTGTTTGGAAAATTCGAAGAAAATTTTACCACATTGGTTGAGTAATCTATAATGAATATTCTCTAAATATTAGAAATCTGTTTTATTGCATCATCAGTGGAAGCTGTCATTCTTTGATATCTCTTTTGTAAGCAGAGTAATTTCATTAGGTTCACATGAATCAGCAGTCCTGTATATGCTGGTGTTCCAGCCAGTGCTATAATGAGGTCTTTAGTCTCCGTAGTGATGAGACGTCTCCGTCTCTATGGATTCCTAGACATAATCGCACTCAAGCCGCTGCTGAGTGCCAAGTTGTGGCCAACTCCGTCATTTGTATATGATTATGGAATAAATTAGGTCTTTTAGGAAAATGTAATTAAATGTTAAGCAGTTATTTAGGCAGCATGATAGTGTGGGAAAACAGCATTATTTAATAATTGAGAAATCATGGAAAGGTGCATAAAATCTTATATGTCAAAACTGAATCTTTTTAAAGGTTTGTTCCACAGCACAGGATAAGGCTTTCAAACGCAGAGGTAGCTTATGAATGAAGAGTGGGTTATCAGCAATGAAATAAGAAATATCTGTTCTTTTTTAATCCCTCTATTACAGTGTGCTGTATACCTGTTTTCTGGTGCCCTTCATCAAAGATGACTGCACCTTCCTAAGGATTTGTGTTTTGAAATCTCTAAAATGAATTATACTAGAAATATCATATGGAAAAGACTGCATTGATAGTTGAGATTTATGATTCTGAGCACTGAAAATGACTTATTTTCATTTTCTATCTTTAAAGGGTGGTGGGTACCTTGCTTTAGTTCTGTAAATTTCTTAAAAATGCTAAAGAGAAAACAATGTGCAGAAACAGCTGATTTAATTCAACACGTTTTTTCAGTGTTTCTTACTAGTCACTTAATGCTAGCAACATTAAGGTATAGATGTTCTGTACTGTTTTATGTGTTTGAATAATGCTACAACGCACTCAAAAAACTGTACTTAACTGGGAGCCGAAGTTAAAAGTCCTATAATAAAAAGTTAGTCAGACAGCACGGTAATGTGCAGACTGGTGTGATTTAGGTTTGTCTGAACTTAAGACAATAGTTACAAAACAGTCTAAAATAGATTTGGTTGAGAATAAGCAGAGCGGCAGAAATATGAGACTTGTGGGTTTTCAGTCTAAACAGTTAATTTATAACTGGAGAGATGTTGTGTCAGCCTGGATGCCAGAGGCCTTTTGGGGTCTAGATCCTCCCCTTTCTGCTGCTCGTGACCTCAGTCCTGCTCTTTGCTGCAAAGGAACTTAGGAAGCAGCTGTGCTGTCCTGATTTCCTGTTGATCGATTGGTGATCACAGTAAGATCCTGTGAGTCCCCCCGAAAAGCAGGTGTTGATGTTATGAGACCTCCCTCTCTAATTCTTTTTTCCCAATTGTACATTGGGCTGTGCTTGGTTTGTGTGGGGGCAGAAGTGGGAGAGGAGAGATGAAAAGCTCCAATGTATATTTCCTTAGTCGTTTTTTTTTATTTTGAGATGGATTATAAGGCTGTCCGTCTTTTGTTATCATACTTTTATGCTGATGAAACTTATTTAAAACACACATTTTTATTCTTGACTGAAAGATTTTTTTTTTTTAAAGTAGTTGGCAGGAATTGCAGTTCTCTAGTCTCAAGACTGGCTTCACCCAAGTAGTTTGCCACTGTTTATCATACCTGTCCTTAGGTAGGTATGGTTTTTAGTGGAGAAACATTGTTTTGCCCCTGCTGCCTGTTCATTTTTGTTTTGTTTTCTTAAATAAGACCCTAATTAGCATTATTTATCAAAATTAGTTGCTAGAGGATGTATGTGTCTTTTTGAGCCTGGGGATGACCCAGAGCTGTCCCACTTGCATTGTGTGTGTTTTGAATAATCATCAGATGGGAATATTAACTAGTAGTTGTTGCCTTGGATTTAATTTTTTCATACTTTTATTGGTGTTTTTATAGAAAAATTAATAATAGCTGTTAATTGGTGAATACTTTGCCTTGAAATGTTTTGAATCAGCACTGTTGATTTTTAAGTGTTATACACTTAAGTAATTTGCAGACGTCGGTGTATAAACCATAATGAATATAAAGTTATGAATTGAATCATATGTATGAAATCTGGCCTGACTTTTTACTGTAAATTTACAGAAGCTCATTTTATAAATTCCCACCTTCACATTAGCTGTGGTAACGTGTGTGGTTATATTCAACGTTAGTATTGGTGGTAGTGATATTTCATAAATGCTTAGATTAAATGACTGTATTATTTCCCTCCATTTATGCCATCATGATAGCTTTTAGCAAAGCACAATATAGGCTTGTAAATACATATATAAATGTTTTATAAGATTCCTTTAGTACATTATGTACAGTTGGTCTCTGACACATTCCTCTTAGGATTTTCTTTTTATGTGATGTGTGTTAATTGGCAACATAAGTAAGATGAGACATGGAGTTGCCTATTTGAAGTGTGGTCAGCTTTTTTTTTTTTTTTTGTGGTGTTTTTCTCCTAGTGGAATAGAAAGCTTGGCAGGATTGTCAGTGCCGCTTTTTCACCTGGTCATATGTTGATGGGGAGCAGGACCAAGCAGAGTGTGTCCTATGCTGGAAGCTTTGCATGTTGGTTTCACCTCTAAAAGTGCCTTTGCTGGAAACTTGAGAAAAATATTTCTCTCTTTCCAAACAGGTATTAACAGGAGCAGATCTTGTGTTTTAGAGGGCAGAGTCATATTAAGGGCAATATTTCTTATGCTAAATTTTGAATTTTTCAGAGGCTTGGGTGAGGTACAGGTTATGTTGGGCTCCTTGTCTGCTTTTGTTTCCTTGAGCAAAAAGCTTATGGGTGCAAACTGGGTGCTTCTGCAATCAAAATAAAGATTGTGTGGAGGGACACAGGAGACAAGCCAAAACAGTCATGTCAGGATTTGGTGGGTGGACACTTTTCAGTCTAGAACATAGTGAATTTTTCAAGGTAAGAAGTAACACCTGTTGAAACACAGTTGTAATAAGAGTGTGTGTCTTTGGGAATAGTCACTTGTCTAGACAAGATAACTGTGCTAAAATATTTAACAGTGTGTAGTGTAGCACCTTGTGATGCTCTTTTTCCTCCC